TTGATGCTCTTGTGAATGGAATTGTTTTCTTAATTTCCTTTTCAGATTGTTTATTGTTAGTGTATAAAAATGCTCCAGTAGTTTTTAATCTGGGTTTTAACCATTGCATTTAGTTTTCAATTTCAGTAACTGTATCATGTGATGTTCTTTTGTTTCCAATTAGTTCTTTGATTTCTTTAATCATTTTAGGCGCCTTGTCCGCAGCTTTTACAGCTCTTTGGTTTCTAATCTTTCTCTTCATTGTCTCTACTGATTCTCTCAGGCCAATTGCTTTTCAGTGGTTTAAAAAAAATTAAGTTTTAAACTTAACTTTCAACAGCCAGTAAATGTGAGAATTTTGTGTGGTCTGTGGGCTTCTCTCTCCAGAGAAGTTTTGGGTTTGCTACGGCCAAATACCCTAGGGGGCCGCCAGCCGGGAACCCACTTTCGTTAATGTATCAGCCTCAGAATTTCTCAAACTAATTGGATAATACACCCCTGAACCCCCTTTCCTTGTGAAGGCAGATCTATGGCTCTGAGTGTTCAGGGGACACACTTTCCCACCCTGAGCTCGGGCAGGCGGCCGGGCCCCTGGGCCCTTCCTGGGCTAGTGAGTGAGTATCTCCTAGTCTGGAGTGGAGACCGCCGGCCTCAGGAGTCCGCATGGCGTCTCCGTTCCAGTGTCCTGCTCCACACGGTTGCAAAACCTTCATCTAGTTCCCGTTGGGCCAATGCCCCCCGACACGCTCGGGTCACAGCCTCGTCCAGAACTTTCAGAGGGGGCCCTCCTGCCCCTCTGACCCCAGTTCCCTCCCAGCCGTCCTGAGGTTCCTGCAGTCTCAGGCGGGCACTCCCCGGACCCTCACGAATTCTACATCATTGTGCCCACCCGGGGCTCCTTCTCCGTGGCCTGAGCTCGTCCACCCACTGACCGCTCTGTGCCCTCGGTCACGCCTCCTCTCTGAGCCCAGTTTCTGTAGAATGGATGAGCCACAGGTCTTCCTGACTCTGAGGATCTGTCTGCGTGTTGAGAACTAAAATGAAATGTGAACTGACCTGCACGTTACCGTCTGAGGTTTGTGTGACCCTGATTCCAAGGCCAGATGTGGATGGCACAGGGAAGGAAGGACAGCCCGTTTCAAGTAAAATGTGGGCTGACAGAGCCCAGCAGAGTCGGGCTGTTCAAGGAGTTACTACTCACAGACAAATATCAGCACAGTGAGACTGTCTCACCAAACTCACCCCCACGTTATGCTTTACAATTCTCGAAAACCCCCCAAGACCCCAACAGTGAAGGGCTCTTCCTAAAATTGATAGACTGACTACATATTCCAACAAAGTCCTGGAGCCGCGTCCTGCCTAAGGGAGGAGGTCTGACCGCGTCCACTAAGGACTGGAATAAGACGAGGACCCCCCTCTTCCTTTAACATCCTGGTCAGCGCTGTCAAGCGGTTCAGAAAAAACAAAATTAAGCAAAAAGTGGAGGGTAAAGACGGGAAGCGCCCGGCCCCCACCCGAGGTCACAGCGCCCCTTCCCCCGGTCCAGGGGCAGCCTCCCGGAGGCCCGGCCGCGCGATGCCCTGAAAACCCCGGAGGCTGCGGACACCCGGCGACAGCGGGGCCTGGAGCTGCGGAGGGGAAATAGATTCGCTGCGGCCTTGCGGGGCTGGGCGATGACGTCATTCCCCTC